GCTACCATATCATATTATATATTATAATATAAAGGCAAAGGCCCATTGTGTGTATGCACCAGTCCGTGCCTAATAATAAGCGCTTCACCAATGCACGCATCCGGTGTTGTAATTTAGTGCATGTGGCTATATAATAATATATATTACTTTGTGTGTAGGCTATTCATTCCTCTCTGTCTGTCTGTCTTTACCTGTGCAAAATAGTCTTCTCAGAGACTCCGGGTGAGTTTTGCCTCGTCAGGTTTTCTCGTGTGAAGTTCTGCTATCCTTGTTATGGTGCTGATTAGCTCGTGTCTTATCCACCCGAGTGACCTTAGAGTAAAGGGATCATGCAACAACAAAAAATGCTTCCGTTACGTCAAACTGGGTCTACCTTTACTCTAGAATCTATGAACACTATATGACGACATAGAGTTGCTGCATTCTGTTCTAAGGCACGCGTCAATGTTATTTCCATATAAATATAATTGCTTCTCTACTGAGTTGGTGAAATGTTCAAAATAGGGGAGAAGTGCCTTTCCATTCGATGTTCTGTAAAACTCAGCTATATTGAGGACTGAACTTAAAACGTACTGTTCGTTGAGTAGACAGTATAGACCAAGCTGCAGGCTGTTGAATTTAAGAAGCGTTATAACGTCTGGTAATACAGCTTTTAGTTGAGTGCAACGCAAACTGTTACTTGGCTTTGTTCATGGTGTGTGACTCGAGTTGCCATTTCTGTCACGGTTGTCTACGCTGACGGCAATCTGTGTCAGCCCCACTCCTTGGTCAGCCCCGAGATTACTGCGATGCAATGCGTTTCCCGACTTAATAAAAGTAAATAGTCAGATGTCGGAATTAGAAACCACGGCTACTTTGTGCTTCAGGGCATGGTACGGGTTTATAAATCGCCTTGCTCAGTGCAGAAAGGGTGTTTTGAACTGTGCGACCACTGGTTGAACGTTCATAATACATACATCATGTACGTTCGGGTATCATCAGCAGGGGGTCTCATAAAAACGCCTCAAAACATCTGGGGCATTGATTTCAAACGTGCGCATTTTATGTTTCTCATTCAGTTTTTGCCCAGTACAAAATGTAAGCTATGTGCACTTGACGATAACATACAGCAACAAAAAATAATACATGATGTGTTATTTTATGTCAGTATAACCCTGACTGACCGTATAGCCTTCCGAACTTCCCGATAAGCTTTTTTATGATGCTCAAACTTTAACCGACTGACGACACCGTTCACTACCTTGGCCTGTTATTCGTTTCCAGATATGGATGAAATGGTGAAAATTTGAGTGAAATGAATGTCCCAAGAACACAACACGGGGCTCTCATTGGGATACAAACTCGAGCCCTTGCATTACATCCTTGATCGCGCCGAGTCCGGTAACCTAACGTCTGAACTACCGTCCCAAAGCTAACCACATTAGATTACCGTTCACACACACACACACACACACACACTCACACACACACACACACACACACACACACACACACACACACACACACACACACACACACACGAACCGGGGATAGGACCACACCCAAACCACTCCTCCCCGGCACCTGCTATTACTTATTACGTATCATGCATGTAACTCGATCAGGATACCCTCATAACACCTTGCATAACACGAAGAACGTTGCGTGCCCATAGATCAGATGCAGTGTG